AGGAGAACCAGATGCTGATGGAGCATGTGGTGATGGTCAAGGTGGGTGGGGGGCATGGGCGGCAGCTGCTCAGCAGCCACACAGTACAGAGGCACATATAGCGGCGGTACGCTGCGCTGCACCGCGTGAGCCGCCCGCTTCGGAGCGGGGGCAAGGCAGGAGGAGGCGAGCCCGCCCCTTCACCAGGCCTGCATGCCCCGGCGCAACGTCATGCCGCGCCGTGCTGTGCCATGCATGGTACCGCCGTGGTACTGCAGGTACGGCAGGCGGAGATGGAGGGGGAGTATCTGGAGGCCAAGCGCCAGCTGCTGCGCACCCGCGAGAAGAACGTGCAGGTGGGGCCTGCCAGCTGCGCAGTAGCTGCGCAGTAGCTGTGCAGCAGCTGTGCAGCAGCTGTGGGTGTCAGGGTCACAGTCCACGGGGCGGCTGGGTGGCGGGGAGGTGGGGAGGGAGGCAAGCCTCGTGGGGAACACTGCGGCGTGGGACCTTCAGATGGCAGCATCGCTCTTCTGCCACACAGCATGATCCAGCACACCGGCGCACACCGGCTCACCAATGCCTGGGGCGCCTGCTGGCCCCCGCCTCTGCTGCTGCAGCTGGCCCGCAAGCTGGGCGAGCTGCGGGAGGCGGCGGAGAGGGGGGAGCCGCTGCCGCTGACGCCGCGGCACGGCGCCGCGCCGCCGCCGCCCCCGCCTGAGGACGCCGCACCCGGCAGGCGGCCGTCGGCGGCGGCGGAGCAGCCCATGAGGAAGGGGCTGCGCATCCCGGGCCTGTGACGGCCCTGCCTGCCTCTTCGACTCCTTGTTACCGGTACGGTACCGGTACCGCAGATATCTGGCGGGGAGTGCCGGTTCCCGTCCTCCAGCTTCCTTATCTGTGTTTTGTGTTGTGCTGCTCCGATTCGTGTTTGATCCCCAGCCAGCCATTGCGCTCGCCGCTGCAAGCTTGTCACATGAGTGGCACAAGCCACGGCATCACCAGGCCGGGGGGCGGGTCTGATAGCATTGCCAGGCACGGCAGGCGCCAAAAGGAGCAGCCGGGAGGGAACAGGAGCGATGGGTAGGCAGGGGGGAGGAAGAGGCACAAACGCTGAAGTGCAAAGAGGGGCAAAGAGCAGCACACAGGTGGCATTGCCAACAGGCAGCACCGTATGGGCAGCGCTATGCCCTGCCCAGCAAGCTGCGCGCCGCCGCGCCGGCCGCGTCCACGCCCGCGCGCAGCACCGAGGCGGCAGCGGCAGCGGTGGGGGCCGCGGGGCCTGCGGGCCCCGGCGCCGGCGGCGCGTCTCCGTGGTGCTCTATGGTGGAGATTAGGTCTGCCAGGCTGACCAGGAAGATGAGAGAGAGGGCCACCACGATGACGGCCGCCAGCCCCAGCGGCCCGCGCCGGTCGTCGTACAGGGTGGCGCTCTTGTCGCGGATCTGGCCCGTGCGCCACACGTACAGCAGCAGCTGCATTAGGGGCATGAGGGGCACGGGGGGGCGGCGGTTAGAGGGCAGCGATTCGGAGGGGCGTGCGGGCGCGCGGCTGCAGCCGTGCCATGCGGTCGCCATACAAACAGCCATGCAAACACAGGTGGCAGCAAGAGCGCCGCGGCCTGATCCAGCCCGCGCCATCCCCGCCTGACCCATCCTCCCCGCAGCTCACCGCGTAGCCGCACATCAGGATGGCCACAGGTAGCAGCACGCAGGCAATGAACTCAATCAGGCCCGAGCCGGGCTGCAGGTGCGGGGGCAGGGGAGCGGGGAGGGGAGCAGGCAGGCAGGCAGGCAGGCGGCAATGTGAGCGGCAACGTGAGCGGGCGGCGCACCCGCACGGCCGCCCCGCGCACACGGGCCGTGGAGAGAGAGAGAGGGAGGGAGGGGGGGGAGAGAAAGAGAGAGAGAGAGAGAGAGAGAGAGAGAGAGAGAGAGAGAGATTGAGAGGCGGCGGCACGCGCAGGCAGCTCGGCGCGTCGGCAGCACAGCACAGCGCAGCGCAGCACAGCATGCCACAGCGCTCACGTCGTCCCCGCCCTTGGCCGACCCCGAGAAGCCCAGCAGGGCGGTGGCGATGGAGCCGATGGTCACCGCCATGTGCAGCCAGCTGAGGAAAGTGCGCTCGTTGGCGAAGAAAGTCTGCGGGCAGGCGTGGGGGCGGAGAAGCGGGGCGCGGGTGGCGGGGTTGGCAAAGCGAGTCCCTCTCGGGAGCGCGCGGGGCGGGCAGGGAGGCCCAGCTGGAGGCGGGAGGGCTGCCCGAAGGCGGCCTGCAATGCTGCTGCGTGCGGCGCCCATGCGACGCCCGGGCAGGGCAGCACCTGCACCGGCCGGCCCACCACCTGCCACCCACCCCGCCCATACAACCCATCCACCCACCCTTCTCCACCCCACCCATGCACCCCACCTTGGGCTCGATCTTGGCGGGCGGCGCCGCCCCCACCACAAGGACCGGCCGCGGCGCCATGGGCGGCTTGGAGAACCACCACTCCAGCAGGCGCTCCCTCCACCCGGCCTGCGGCGCCTGCCGCATGGCGCGCTTGCCGTTGGCGCGCCGCTCGGCCGTCTGCGACGCAGGCGGGTGGCGCCGGCTGGTGGTGGGGACCACCGGCATGCAGCTCACCGCTTGGCGAGGGGGCGAGGGAAGGCGGCAGCTCCAGCAGGCAGGGAGCAACTGCTGGCCGGCTCATTTCGGCACCACCGGCACCAACTGGCACTGGCACCACTGGCACCATCTAACTGAAAAACTACAAAATAAAGCTGCCCCAGCGCACTCCACACACTCCCGTGCCACCCCGCTGCTTTCAGCTGTTCCTCTCTGCGCCCCGCATCGCCCCACCTTGATCCGCGCGGAGCTGATCAGGCTCTGCCGCGCCAGCAGCGGCTCCCGCAGCTCCGCTATCTCATCCTCGTCGTCCTCCTCATCCCCCAGCCGCCTGCAGGCGCGGCGCAGGGGGCGGCGCGCCATCAGGACCGCCGTCAGGACCGCCAGTAGGACCGCCAGCACTGCTGCCGTGCGCACCACACGCACGCCAGCCACCAGCCCTCCGCGGGCAAGCTTGCACTCGAGCAGGCATCTGGAAGCCGTATAGCGGGCGTGCCACGCGTGGCGGCGCCGGCCACGGCAAGCGGGCCTGCCGGGAGGGCGGCCCCTAAGGCCAGCCGGCCCAGCACTCACTTGCGCGGCTTGGTGCGGGCGGCGGCCTCCTGGTCCCGCGCGTCTGGCGCCACGTCAGCGGGCTGCTCCGGCGCCGACATCAGCATCGAGGCCCGCACTGCGGGCAGGCCAGGCGGGCGGGTGGGCAGGGCAGGAGGATGGGCAAGGGGCATGCAGGCAACCAGGCAGGGAAGCCGGCGGGGCAGGGCTCACACCAGCCCCAACCGTGCCCCATACCGGCGCACCCACACATGCGCCCGCTGACCGCCACCGCCACTGCCCCTACGCCCCGCGCCTGCACACGCGGGGAAGAAAGAAGGAAAAGGAGGAGGGCAGAGGCCTGCAGCCCTCACCGCTCTCGTCGTCCACCCAGTACGGTACCGCCTGCACCATGTCCGGGAACAGGGTGGCGGTACCGTGGATGTACTTGGAAAACTTGTGCACCTCGGTCAGCAGGCCTGCGGTGGCGGCGGTGGGGGGCAGGGTGCGAGTGTGAGTGTGTGTGCGAGTGTGAGTGTGTGTATATGTGTGCGTGTGTGTGTGTGGAGGGGACAACGAAACAAGGAGAAGGAAGAAGGGACAAGGTGTGCAAGGCTGTGAAACGCCTATCAGGCGTATCTTGCAACCGCCGCCGGCACCGCCTCTGCCCCCCGCATGCCCCAAGGCACCAAAATTGTTGAACTTGGATTCTCAAGACCCTCTCGAGGCCCCCGCACCAGCACAGGCACCACCCCACCCACACCACCCCAGCTACCCACCAGCCACACCACCCCAGCCACCCACCCGAGTCCACCAGCTCTGCCACCCAGTCGGGCGCTTCCTCGCCCTCGGCCATGCTCAGCTTGACTTCCAGCACGGCGTGCGGGAAGCGCGTGATCTCGGTGCGGTGGATGGGCAGGGTGGGGTCACGGTACCACCTGGCAGGGAAGGCAGCAAGGGCAAAGAACGCTTGCATCATGCGTTTTGGCCTTCTGCCCAATAGCGTACACAACCATTAGGTGTGGGGTGTGGAGAAGCCGCGAGAACGCTGCAGGCCGGAACGCATCGACGCACACAGGTGCGGGCGAGCGCGCCAGCAGGACCTGCTCTACCCCCCCAAAAAAATCAACAGCCAGGCCGTGCATGCATGCATGCATGCGGCGGCGGGGAGGCGCACCTGCCGGCGGAGGCGGTGGTGGGTCCGTCCTCGGGGTTCTCCTTTATCATGCACAGGTTGGTGTCCAGGCTGCAGGGCAGTACAGCAGTACAGCAGCGGTACGGTCAGGGGCACAGAGAGGACGGGGTGGCGCGGGCGGTGGGTCGGCACGAATCGGTTTGGAGCCAGGAGCTTGGAGCCCAGCCGCAGAGCAGCACAGGTCCGCTCGGCGCCTGCCCTCGCCGCCTCCACCTCCCCTCCCTCCCAGGCCACCATTCAGCCAGCGTCGCGCCAGCCCCTCCCTGTCTCCCCCACTCCTCACAGCCCACCCACCTGATGCGTACTGTGGGGTCGAAGGGTATCTGGAAGGCGGTACGCATGTACTGCGTGCGTACCATCGGCTTCAGCTGCTTGGCGTCCACCGTCTTCTGCACCTCCACAAAGGTCTGGGACACACGGGCAATGTCCTCCTCGGTGGCGCTCTGCGGCGGCGGCAAGAAGGAGAAGAAGAAGGATGACACACGCGCGCGACGGCGCGGCATGGCGCGGCACCAAGAAGGGCCGGTGGCGCGGTGCAGTGTGGTGTGCGAGCGGCGGCGGGCGGCGGCGGGCGCGCGTGTGTGTGCTGGGGGAGGCGAGGGGGCACCGAGCAGGGCTGGGCGACGGCGCCGCAGCGGCGGCGAGCAGGCCAGGGCCAGCCGGGGCGTGAAGCACGGCTCTGCTGGGACAGAGGCCTGCGCCGCAGCCCAGGGCAGCGGCAGCCCACCCACCGCTTGCCGCATCTCTTGCTGTATCGCCTCCTCAGGCAGGTCGCCATCCAGATACATCAACACCTGCTCCTCCCGCAGCCCAAACCGCTCCTTCTGGCTCTCGTCGCCCTGCGCCAGGTCAGCAGGCGGGGGCGCCAGGTCAGCAGGCGGGGGGCGCCACATCAACACGCCAGACTGGCATGCCAGCTCAGGCGGCCACCCACGGGCAGGCCGCGGATGCAGCCACCGGGGCGGCAACCAGCCAGTGCCCCCGCGTCACCTGCCCCTCCCCGCCACACCACCATGCCACGCCGCATGGCACGCCAGCTGAACCATGCCGGGCCGCGCCGCCCACCCACCCACTCCCACCCACCACCACGGCCAC